GCTCATCTTAAGGACTTGCTTCTTATCGGCCTTGAAGAATTGTAACAGTTACATTGTTTGTAGAGTATCTCTGTTAACCATGCTGAGAAGGGGACGTTGCATCTGTTGCAATTTGTTTTAGAATGAAAGCATGGTTGTTTTGGAGAAGGAAGATCCATAATCTCGCTGTTGAGCATTGAAATGACTGTGGACATTGTTGGTCTATCTTTTGCCATTTCTTGCACACACAACAATCCCACATGTATGTATCTTAGAATCTCTCTACAGTGGCATGGGTCGCAAACCACCTTATCTACCATTGCCAAAACGTTTTCTTCATTCCACAATTTCCAAGCCTAGAAAGTGTAAAGATTAGTTTGAAGATGGAACTGAGAAATCAAAGAAAAGTGCTGATTGGAAATGATGCTTAAAATCTTACATATTCCAGATGGCTTGAAGTATCCTCATCATTACCAAAACTTGTGTTTCTTCTCCCGCTAACAATCTCTAGTAATAATACACCATAGCTGAATACATTGGATTTCTTTGAAAATAATCCTACTATTGCATATTTTGGGGACATATAGCCACTGCATTCCAACATCACAACACAAACTTGATTTTTTCAGCACATGAAGCAATATTTTCTATAATTTTGGTCTTGGGAGATTCAACTTACTATGTCCCCACAACCCTTCTAGTATTGGTTTCATCTTCATTTCCTCTAAAAATCCTAGCCATTCCAAAGTCTGAAATTTTTGGATTCAACTCTTCATCCAACAAGATGTTACTTGCTTTTAGATCTTTATGAACAATTCGTAGTCTAGAATTCCTGTGTAGATAAAGGAGATCTCATTAATTCCTTCAATGATATTGAATCGTTTTCTCCAATTTAAGAATTCTTTTTTGAATGAATCTACATCAATCATATACCAAAAGGTGAAAATTAGAATGAAAAGAACAAATCCAAGCATTATAACTATCAGAAATGAATGCTCTAGTCTAGGCCATTACCCCTTATAAAGAAATAAAAGGAATGAATGTTTTCGACAATGAAAATAATATATAGATTGTTATGTTTATGTTCTTGGGGTATTGGTTAAGGAAAATATAAGAAAAAAACCTTATTTGCATTCTATAATCAAATTCCAAATGAAAAGGAGGATGAATCATGCTTTAACCAAACAAATACGTGTCCAAGCTTTTATTTGGCATGGACTCGTAGACCAAAATCTTCTCCTCTCACTCCACACAGCAGCCTAGAAGCCTTACAAGATTTCGTTGTTGGAGCTCGGAAATCACAAATACTTCATTCATAAATTCTTCTAATCCTTGTCCTAATGCGCTAAACAGTCTTTTAACTGTTATTTCCTGCCCATTTTCCAATGTTCCCTGGGGAAAAGGAAAAACATGTTAGCATAAATTTTCATTTGACAAAATATGAACTATTGGAAGCTAACTTTTGCCCTGTACACGGGACCAAAACCTCTTTGCCCTAGCTGATTTGCAAGATTAAAGTTTTTTGTTGCGGTTGCCAGTTCCTCAAATTTGAACAGTGGTAACTCTTGAAGTTCAACTTCAGTTGTGCTGGTTTTCCTTCTACCAAACAACATTTCTTCAATTTTCTCTTTCCATGCTGAATAGATTAGTAGCAAATGTTGCATTAAGAGTTACCAAATCATGAATTCTCAAGTTCAAACTGCTAAAACAGTAAAACAGAAGAACAATTACATTAGCATACTTGCTACCTTTTCCTTTAGCCACCATCCACCTTCTTACAAACAATGTGCAGATGCAAAAGATGATGGTTCCTACAATCACTGTTGTTATTATGATTATTAATTTTACATCTTTCTTTTGTTCTGCAAGTAAAATCAAGAAATAAATAACTGCCTTTTTAGACAAAACAGAATAGAGAAAAACGAAAATTTTCCATTTCTAACATATTTGTCTACCTTCAAGTTTAAGAATATCATACCAGGTTCTGAGTATGCCAAACGAATGTAAAGATCCATCCCACCACTGGAGAACTTCTAAATGTCAATCAAGGTTACATTCCATGACATACAGCTTGTACCGACATCATACGCATAAGCAATACATGAACAATTATTCAGGCACCAGTTTCTGCATCATCTTCAGTGTCTGCTGGCCACTGCCGTGCAAAGTCTGGCATTTTCATCATCTCTAGCTTCAAAAAACCATCCTCCTTACCATCTTCTCTGCTGCTGTTTGTTCTATGGCACGGCAAGGTTGTACTCCTAACGCAACCACTAGTCCAAATTCCTCTGTTCCATTCCTCTGTATTCTTGGGTTCAAACCCACTCAAACAGCTGCAATATGTTGGCTTCTGAGAATCACAACTTCCAAATGGCCCACACTTGCCATAAACTTCACATTCGTGTTGTGCATTAGACTATACAATCCTATAGTCTTCCCAGTAATCAGTCCATGTCCAAAATTGTTCAATTAGTTTTCCTTCTGGATCCATGAAAAAGTCCAAAAAATATTTATCAGCAACATGAGTAAAAGAATAATAAAAGGTTCCTTCATCTTTATCAGCCTCGAGTGTATACCCAAGATCGAAAGAATTCATAGCTGGTACTCCAACAAACACCGTACCATTCCATGGGCCACTCCGCCAATACGGTTGAGAATTATTCCAGTTGAAGCATTGACGTATGTCAAAAGGCTCAATCCCGATGGAGAAATTACCAACAGATGGATCAGAAGGGCTTTTCCACGATGTCACCTGGATTTTCTCACCAGTTCTTAAATCTACACCGACCTTCATTGTTGGCATAAAAACATTAGAAGGTTGTTGGAAACTCTCCCACGTCTTCACGCCAGTGGTTTTTATCCAGCAAGACCAGGTTTCCAATGTCTAGAAGCTTAGAAATTGTATTATAACCTGTCAGCTTTTCAACATTGGATGACCAAAGAACCTCCTTCTGCCCATTCAGAACTACAAGATTGCCATCCTCAGATATCATAAGAGTTCCGGAGGAGTCCTTCAGAGGCTTCTCCCTGTTGGCTACCCATATCACGCCTTTTACAGGGTCAACACCGTTCTACCATATTCCCACATAAAGATCAGTAGAATTAGCAGGGTTGAAGAATCCCAGTTGGAGCTTGCTGCCATTGGAGATTATAGCTTCCGGATATTTGATAGATTTTGATGGAGTTATGGTGTCTGCTGAAAAGCCGAACTGCAAACAAGAACCAAAAAGTAAGAGAAAAGTTAATGATATCATTCCTTTGCTCATTCCCAAACTTGCCAATTCCTCTATTTTCATCACAATGAGGATATGTAAGCATTGCCTCTTCAACCTCCTTGAATAAAGTAATGAACAACAGTGCCGGTCTGTTCATCTCGTCAACATTTTCCTAAGAGCTCCAACATTTTCTAAAGACTTTATTTTTATTATAATTTTTTTCTGACTCATTAGCCGCTATCTGAGTTGACATCTATTGCTCACGGATACACACAAAAAAAAAAATAAATAAATAAATAAAAGGGGAAATCTTAGACACCAAATTTGACCAATCTCGTACAAATTATCTTAACATTTTCATAACTGTTTCAGTCATGTAAATTTCCACTCCGAGGTGGAATTCTAGATTATTGCTTATCATATCTTTTGAGTTTTGACATCTGTTCTGGATAAAAGTTAGATCATTTGAAGAAAAACTCTAATAGAATGTCAACGGTAACTTTTCCAAGAAAAACTAACCCAGAAGCCAGTATGAAACTTACTCAGGCATAGTATCAAACGTCTGGCGAGCAAACCATTCCCCAAGAAAACTTCATTAACGATAGAAAAAAAGAAAAAAAGAAAATGCAATTAGTACAAACAAATCAAGTAGCAAAATTTAAGCTTACCGATGGAATTGATGAATTCCTTTATTTCTTCAGCAGTAGAAAATTTCGGAAGCAAAATTTATACTACCGTCTAGTGATAATAATTTTTATCAACTTTAAATTAGTGCTACAACCAAAATATCTTTCAGGCATAACAGAAGTATTGTGATTTTGGTACTTTCATAACTTCAACTATATTTATAGAGTGTGTAAGGATAGGTCTGAGGTTAAGGACCTTAGACGTACTGCTATATTTCTTTAATGACCGAAGTAACTCGTAAGTTCAACTCTTCTCGGTCGTGCTGTCGCATGACAACTACAATAGGCATGTTTGCACCCGATCCTCTATCCTTGAGATTATCGCCTGCATGGACACATCAGATTCCAATTATCTTGTTAAGCAGGCCATGTGGATGCCTCATTAAGGCTTATAAATACCCTCAGGAGCCATCTCGAAAAGGTAATTGAAATCGATCTAAAGCTTCTTTTTCCATAATTCTTAAAGGTAGATCAGATTATTGCTGACTTAAGCATTGAAGTGTCTACCTCGAGAATCCACCTCTAGGCTTTGTAGGTCATCTTGAACAGAAGACTTGGACTGGAAGAAGTTATTTGGTTTGTTGCAGTTACATTAGCACTGTCTGTGGGAACCTGAATTAGAAGCTCTCTTGTTCCTTTTTCACCATGGAATACACTCAATCCGTCCGAATTGGAAGTCAAGCTCAACCTCTTGGCTGAGGTCAAGTCCAGCAACCAAATAACTTACCACCTTATACACCAAACCTATTTGCTCCTTTGGAACATGCAAAAAGAGGTGATGAGAACCAGCCACTACCACATAACCCAACTTCCAACCCTAACCAAGGTGATGAAGTCTCAGCTCAGCTTGCCACAATGCAACAACAGTTCGACGTTTTTCAGGTGGTTTTGGCTCAGCTCTTAGCTCAAAATAACCTTGGTGATCCCCTCATTAATCTATTGAACCCAACCCAGCAACCTCTAGTTCAACAGCAAGAACCTCCCCCAGTTTGCTCCAATGATCACCAACATGCTCCTACCCTCAATGAGTCTCAAGGCTAATCTCATGTGGCCCCACCTCAGCAACCTTTACCTGATGATGTCACACAACGTCTAAACAGTTTAGAAAAGATGGTGGCTAAGCAACGAGGTGCTCCAATTCTTCATCATAACACTACTTTCGTACCTCATCCTCTGAACACCAATATAACTTTGGAACCTTACCTTGCTGGTTTCAAAATACCTCAACTTGAGACATATGATGGAACGAAGGACCCAGATGATCATCTGCATGCTTTCTACTTTTGTATGCAAGCTCAGAATGCCTCCAACGCCTTAATGTGCAAAATTTTCCTTTATGCTCAAACTTGGTATTATAGTCTACCTCTGAGGCCTATCAGCTTTTATGTAGAGATGGCATCTACTTTTGCCACAAAGTTTTCCAATAGGAGGTTGATTAGGAAAACAACATCTGAGCTTATGAGAGTCATGTAGAGGGATGGGGAATCCTTGAAAAATTACATGAGCAGATTCAATGATGTAGTTTTAGAGGTTAGCTCATTTGATCAAGTTGTAGGAATTGCAACTATAATTCAAAGCCTCAAACACGAAAGATTCAAGGATAGTTTGATTAAGCATCCTTCTACTACTTTCAATGAAGTTAATGATAGATCTTTGAGGTTTATAACTGTTAAGGAATATACTTTATCACAGAAACCAGTTCTTGTTAGGAATCAAAACTCAATTTTGAGAAAGGAGGGCCAGAGTAGGAAACAGATTAAGATAGTACAGAATCGAGGTCTGATGTTGACCTCCATGCCAAGTTTTGGAAGATCAAATTCAATACCTCCTCAACAAACTCCCAGTAAAGCACCAGTTACGTGGACTTCTTTTAATTTACCGAGGTCGTAGATATTCATGTAGATCAAGAATAAGATGGATTTGAGGCAACCAACGCCAATGAGAAGTTTTGCTACTATGCGCGATCATGCTAAATATTGTGATTTTCATCAAAATCATGGTCATACAATGAAAGAATGTAACAGCCTAAAGTCTGAGCTAGAAAGTTTAGCTCAGAAGGGACTGTTGAATAAATACATTCGGAGAACAAAACAGCCTAAATTCGTTAGGGAACAGGGTTCACAACCACAGGGATCCCGTACTATAGGTAATAGGCAAGGTGTGGGCTATCAATAAGCTCCACCACCATTCCCACCACTAGCCAGAATTATTCATATGATTGTAGAAGGGTTAAAAGTAGGGGGTTTAAGCTCTAAGCAATGGAAGTTATACGTGAAGGAGGTGAAACAACAAAACCGAGCTCAAAAACAAAAGTTTGATGATACTGATTGGAATGATGATACTGATTGGAAAAATCAACCAATCACTTTTACACCTATTGACTTTGATGGGGTGATATCGCCTCATAATGACCCATTGGTCACTTTTTTTAGGATTAACAATTGTGAGGTACAGCATGTACTTGTTGACACAGGTAGTGCACCAGACATCATGTATTATCATTGTTTTGAGAGTTTAAGGCTAGATCCAACTTTGCTACAGAGATACAACAGTCCTATATATGGCTTTAACAACCAACCTGTTCAAGTTAAAGGGGTCCTTACCCTCAATGTTGCGTTTAGGAGTGGTCGAACTTATGTTACTTCCTCAATTCGGTTTCTAGTTCTCAAAATGGCTTCATCTATCAATGTCGTTATTGGTCGACCTACATTAATGGAGATCCAAGCTGTGGTTTCTCAATCTTATCTCTGCATGAAGTTCCCTATTCCCATGGGAATAGCGACACTGAAAGGCAATCAGAAAATAGCCAGGCATTGCTATATTACCTTGGTTACAAGGTCTCTGAAAGAAAAAGATCATATGTCAAAGAACGCCCGCAAGAAGTTCATGACAACCAGTAGGTAATGGGGGTCGAGATCCTTAATAACTGACCTGAAGATGAAACCCGAGCTGCTCCAATGGAGGAAGTCGAAGAAGTGCAGATTGATGACAGAGATTTGAGTAGGAAGACCCAAATCGAAACTCATTTGAATACAAAAGAAAGAGCGGAGTTAATAGCTCTCCTCTAAGCTAATAAGGATGTTTTTGCTTGGACCTCAACAGACATGCCAAGAATACCAACCTTGGTATCTCATCATAAACTTACTACTAATCCATTGAAGAAACCAGTAGCACAGAAGTGGTGCCTCTTTGGGGGAGAGAGGCTTAAAGTAATTAAGGAAGAGGTAGAGAAACTTCTGCAAGCTGGCTTCATCAGAAGAGTTGAATACCTGTGAATGGGTAGCCAACCCAGTGCTGGTTAAGAAAGCTAATGGCAAATGTGCATCGACTATATGAACCTCAACCAAGCTTGTCTTAAAGATTTCTACTCGATGCTGAATATCGACAAACTAGTTGAGGCAGCTTTTGGAAATGAGAGACTGAGTCTCTTGGATGCATATTCTAGTTATCACCAAGTCCCAATGGCTCCTGGGGATAAAGAGAAGACCTCATTTTATGCAAGAGATGAAATATATTGCTACGTCATGATGCCCTTTGGCTTAAAGAATGCGGGTGCCACTTATTAGAAAATAGTAACCATCATGTTCCGAGCTCAAATTGGCAGAAACCTATAAGTTTATGTTGATGACCTCGCAGTGAAGAGTTGGAAAGCCAAGGACCATTTAGCTGACTTGGATGAGACATTCAATAATTTGAGGAAGAACCAAATGCGATTAAACCCAGCAAAGTGCATCTTTGGTGTAGAATCTAGAAAATTTCTAGGCTTCATGGTATCTAGCAAGGGGATTGAGGTTAACCCAGAAAAAATTAAAGTCAAAGAAGAGATGGAACCGTCAAAATCAGTGAATGATGTACAGAGACTAACAGGAAGAGTGGTAGCTCTACACAGATTCGTATCCAAATCAGCTAACAGATGTCTTCCCTTCTTCAAGATCATGAGATCATCAGCTCAAAAAGATGAATCTGGCAAACAGAAAAAGTTTGAATGGAGTCCAGAATGTGAAGCTGCATTTGATGAGCTCAAATCTTATCTTAGCTCACCCTCATTACTAATAAAAGCTATCGATGAGGAGATCCTCTATTTGTACCTTGGCATATCTGATGAAGTAATCAGTTTTATATTAGTGAAGGAAAAGGGTAAACAGCAGAAGCCAATTTATTATACCAGTAGGGTACTACATGGAGCAAAAAAGAGATATTCTATTGCTGAGAAGGCAATATTAGCAATTGTTACCTTGGCCAGAAAACTAAGACCATATTTTCAGTCACACCCAATTGTCGTTCTTACAAACCAACCTCTTTGGCAGATCTTATAGAAACCAGAGTGCCTAAGAAGATTGATCAAATGGGCAGTTGAATTGGGGGAATTTGAAATAACGCTTCAGTAGAGGTCAGCAATTCGAGCACAAGCATTAGCAGATTTTGTTGTTGAATGCACTTCAGACCACTCAAGTTCCATTTTCGAGCTAGATACTTGGATTCTATATGTGAATGGAGCAACAAACAGTAAGGGGTCAAGGGCTAGAGCAGTCCTGGTAGGGCTAGATGGTTATCAAAGTGAGTATGCTTTGAAGTTCAACTTCGATGCAACTAATAACATGGCCGAATACGAAGCTTTACTACTTGGTCTACAGCTGGCATTAGAGCTAAAAGTCACGGCAATCTAAATTTATAGTGACTCACAGCTCGTGGTCAATCAGGTCAACTCAATTTGTGAAGTGGTTGACCACATGTTGATGAAATATGTATCCCTGGTGGCAGATCTGAAGTGTAGGTTTGAGAAATTCTGCCTTAGTAAAATACCCTGAGCTGAAAATGAACAAGCAAATTTGCTCTCCAAGTTCGCCTCTAATAGCTCCTGAGGTACAAGATCTGTTTTCGTCGAGATTCTAGACGGGCCTACTTTTCAAAAGCTCAAGATGATGGAGATCAGTACAGATTCGAAGACACCAAGTTAGACAGACCCAATTAGATCTCTCTTGCTAGATGGGTCAGTTCCTACAGATAAGCAAAAGGACATGAGGTTAAGGAAGAAAGCATCTCGGTATACATTTATTGATGGAGTTCTGTATAAGAGATCTTTTTCACTCCCTCTCCTTTGATGCTTGAACTCTTATGAACTTGAATACACACTTCAAGAGGTACATGAAGGTGCTTGCGGAAGTCATGTTGGTGCTAAAACTTTGGCTCACAAAGTTCTCAGACATGGATATTACTAGCTTAATATGCACAAGGATGCCACTTCATGCAAAAATGCCCAAAATGCCAATTCTTTGCACATTTGACTCATCAACCAGCAGAAGAATTGACAAACTTGGTAGCACCGTGGCTATTTGCTCAATGGGGGCTTGATCTCTTAGGCCCATTTATCAAAGGAGTTGGAGGTGTCACCCATTTGGTCGTTGGTGTGGATTATTTTACAAAGTGGGTGGAAGCTCGGCCTTTGCCTAGCCTTACTTCCAAGAAGGTTGAAGACTTCGTTTTTAGCTCAATCATCTGTCAATATGGGATCTTGAATCAAATCATGGCTGATAATGGAACCTAGTTTAACTGCTCCTCATTTAGAGACTTTTGCTCCAGTTACGGAATTAAACTGCAGTTTACCTCGTTTACCACCTCGAGTCTAATGGCATAGTGGAATATGTTAACAAAGCTATTTTAGAAGGAATAAAACTGAGGTTGGAGCAACACAAAGCCAGGTGGGCAGACGAGCTCAACAACATGCTTTGGACATATAGAATCACGAGCCGAACTGTTACAGGTACTATTTCCAACTTAATTTACTTTCTCACCACTTTATTTCTTCTTCTGTTGCTTCACCCTAGGTCAAATTTGTATAATATATAAAGCACACTCTAAAACAGTAACTCAATGAAATAGGTGAAACACTCTACTATCTAGCCTTTGGTACCAAAGCAGTCATTCCTATTGAAATAGGAGTCCCAAGCTTCAGGGTTACCCATTTTGATGAAGGACGAAATGGACAATTGCTTCGGGAAAACCTTGACTTGCTTGATGAAGTCAAAGAGGAATCATAACTTCGAACCTTGGCATAAAAGCAAAAATTAGCCAACTTCTACAACAAACGAGTTCGACCTCGAACATTTAGAGTGGGAGACCTTGTTCTCAAGAAAGCTGGCCTAACGGGGTTCAAAACTCGATTTGGCAAACTAGCCCCAAATTGGGAAGGCCCTTACATAGTGGCCGAAGTGCCACACCCAGGTGCTTATATTCTTCAAGACACTGAAGGAAAAAAGGTCCCTCGAGTCTGGAATGTCAACAATTTGAAGAAATTTTACCCTTAATTCACTTATGTCAACAAACTTTGTCTTATTTTCCTTTATGATTGTTAATTCCTCTATCCGAAATTAATTTCATTCCTTAGAATGTTCGTCCGAGGTCAATTTGTTATTCATTTTATTCTTTTGACTTCAATTCTATTAATGAATTTCACTTAAAATCCGAAGTGCTTTCTTTCATCTCAGCTCTTAGTTAGCGCCAACACAACAAATAATGAAAGCAAATTCTCAACATATAATTAAATTGATGAATGAAATGATTACAAAAATGTTCAAAACAAGACAAACAAATTGTTCAAACTTTACAACGAAACAAAAATCATAAAATAAAAGCCTCACTACTCTGTAGGAGAAGGTGGCTGGTTCTCTGTTGGAGGAGCTGGCTAGTCCTCCTCTAAAGGAACTGGATGCATCTCCACTAAACAAGGTGGCTAGTTCTCTTCCACTTCTGCACCTCCTGTCCTTGCGTCCCTTTCTTTCACTATGACAAACTCGAAGTTGAAGTTAGGTGGGAAAATGGTGCGACCTTCTTCATCAGGATCCCATCTTAGCTTAATTTGAGGTCAGAAGTCAGCTGACATGCTTTCACCGTTTTCCTCCACTCCTTCCTCTTGTTCACCAAAGGTGATTCTCGTCACATCCACTTCGAGATATTAACCTTTCACCTTCTTTCTGCAATCTGTGAAAGCTAAAATTGCAATTGGCAGTCAATATAGATTGACAATATTGTCAACGGTACTGGAGTTGAGAAACTCTGCAATGTGCTCCTCCATTGCATTGTGTACTAGCAGCTTTACGTTCTTTTTGAGTTCGGCTTTAGATTCTTTCATTTTCTTTATTTCTTTCTCTTGAGCATCAATCTTTTCTTCACATATTTTCCTCTTTCTCTCTTCAAATGAAAGGATTGTCTTTAACAAATCTCTCTCGTCCTATAAACTCGTCACTACTGGTACCACCTCATCTAGATTCTTCTGCATATCCTCCTTCTCTTTCTACAATGCATCATTCTGCTTTTGCAACTTGTTGCGCTCTTTGATATTTTCCATAAATTATTGAGCTAACGCATTAACCTGGCTTGCACACTACCATATAAGCACCAGTTAAAAATAATAATAATAATAATAAAACAATAAAAACAAAAACGAACACTAAATATCATCACTTGATGTACCTCCAAGGCGTGCTTAACAACTGAACTCCCTCCATTAGTCAACATTTCCTCCCTTGCTTAGCGACGATCCACTTTAGGAAGATATGCATTTATAAAATTCTTCGCCGCCATCATGTTCTTGGTGTCAAAAAGACTGCTCTGCAAAGAAGGAGGAGGAACAAGCGCCTTGCCCTTGCCATGGGTTGTAACCCCAATCTCTCTGAGCTCTGGATCATCCTCAACAAGAGGAGGTCGAGGTACGAACTCTACCACCTCGTCTCCCCTAACCTTTGGCTCCCCTATTTTCTTCTTCTTTTTTTGAGCCAGTTATAAATCCTCACTTCCTTTTCGTTTGAGCTCTAGCCTTGGCTTATCAACAACCGGAGCTCGGGCTAATGCACTAGAGAGTTGCTCCCTTTCTTTGTCTCCAACTTTTCCCTCACTTGCAACATTTTCAGAAGTCTTTGACTTCTTCCTTAGTTTTTTGGGAATGGCTAACCCCTCAGCTGCACCCAAAATTTTGTTCATCCCAGCTGCAAAATAGCAAAAATGTTAAAAACATAAGTCAGAACCTAACATTAAATCATGCAAAGCAAAACACAAACACACCTTCACTCAATGAACTTGGCCCATAGAGCTCAACAGCCTCTATGACATCTGAGCTGGTGAGATACATAATATCCAAGATGTCACCTCCCTCTTTCACCAGCTTCTCAATCTCTTCCTCTTCATCACTATTCAAGCTATACCTATTTTGGTTGGCTTTTTTAGCCTTCCAGCTAGACAAAAATTCTACTTCTTCATCCCTCTTTACCCACTCTGTGTCATCGACAAAGAAAAATTTTTCCTTCCATCCGTTAATGGATGAAGGTCCTACACTAAATAAGTTCCTTTTTTCTTTGTTGGATGTCTGAGGTATGAAGTAATACCACCCCTTGTCCTTTCTACTCTCAGCTTTAATTACAAAAAAATGCTTAAACATATTCACAATGGGCACCCTAACAACCCTAGCTCGGCAGTACACCAAGAACCCAATTATTACCCTTACTGCGTTAGAAACTAATTGGGTCAAACCTATGCTATACTCCAACAATAACCAAACCAACAACTCTGAAATTGGAAACATAAGCCCTACTGCTAAATAATGAGCATACATGGGCATCCAATGATCCTAAGGTGCCGAGCATGCCCTTTCCTCCACCCTAGTCGGCCTAATTAACACTTGGAGAGGAAGGTCATAGGTTTCAACTAAGTAAACAAGGCTATCACTTGTACCCAACTCAGTCTCATACCCCATCACTTCAAAAACAATGTCTGCCTCTACATTATAACACCTATCACCCCCACCCTCAATTTCCAAAATATTCGAGGGCATTCCTCCTTCCTCACCCTCAATAATTTCTTTTCCACCCACCTCGTCCTCAGTTCTCTCTGACCCAGACAACCCACTCTCCATACCCCCATCACCGTATTCCAAAACCCTCACTTCCTTGCTTCTTCCCACACTCAACGTTTCCTCAAAAGACATTTCTTCACTTTCGTAACTTTCACTACATGGAGTAGGGGGGAATGAAGTTAGGATCTTCAAAAAATTCTAACTCACACTCAATGTCACTCTCACTCCTCAACCTAACCTCCTTAAGAGGACTTAAATCTAAATCAGAAAAGGTGAAAGGAGAATAAAACTCTTCGCTAGAATTAGAACTACAAAAATTCGTAAGTTACTTGATTTCAGTCTTGTAAAATTAGCGTAGAAGTCACAAATGAATCCAGAAGCCCAAGCACACAAGATCAAATGAAACTATAGCAGCACTTTGGTAGCAAATACGACAAAAGTAAAATATTTTTACAAAAATATGGCTATATATACCAATACAAAAATGTGCTTCAATGGTCATGATTAATTCTAGTCAACAGTCACGATTACACCGATTCGAATTCGACGATTAATTCTTAATGGAACCTTCTCGAATTTGATGGTTCATTTTCGAGTACATCTGTTCCACTATTATTGTTACTTTTGACAGCCCGTATTTATTGCACACGTCTTTTGATAGACAGTTATCATATCACGTATTAACTCCATATCAAGCTTTTTACATGGGCCCTATTAATCCCAACCCAAATCCTTTTGTTTACACAAATGTTTTCAGTGTTACAAATATTTTACCACGGCTACAGCTCAGTGACCACGAGTCAACAGTTTTACTTCGACTACGGCCTCAATGACCACGAGTCACCGGTTTTACTTCGGTTACAGCCATAGTGACCACGAGTCTCCAGTTTTACTTTGGCTACGGCCATAGTGATCACAAGTCACCTATCTTACTTCGGCTCTGACCACAGTGGTCATGAGTCACCTATCTTACTTCGGCTACGGCCAAAATGACTACAAGTCACCAATCTTACTTCAACTTCTGCCACAGTGACCCCAAGTCACCAACTTTACTTCGGTTACGGCCATAGTGACTTCGAGTCACTAATTTTACTTCGACTGTGACCATAGTGACTACATGTCAACAATAACATAACTCCATAACATGTTTCTCTCATTAATTGAGCCTTTAACATTTTATCACACTTCATCATACATTTTCAAGTAATCATACACTATCCTTGCCACCTCCTACTACATCATTCACAATTGAATGACTCTGAGGGGGGAATAGTGTAAGGATAGATCTGAGGTTAAAAACCTCGGACGTACTGCTACATTCCCTTAATGATCAAAGTAACTTGTAAGTTCAGTTCTTCTCGGTCATGCAGTCGCATGATAATTATAGTAGGCATGTTTGCACCTGATCCTTTATCCCTGAGATTATCACCTGCATAGACACGTCAGATTCCGATTATCCTGTTAAACAAGTCACGTGGATGCCCCATCAAAGCCTATAAATACCCCCAGAGGCCACCTCGAAAAGGTAATTGAAATCGACCTAAAGTTTCTTTTTCCATAATTCTTAAAGGTAAACCAGATTATTGCTGACTTAAACATTGGAGTGCCTACCCCGAGGATCCACCACAGGGTTTTGCAAGTCATCTTGAAGAAAAGACTTGGACTAAAAGAAGTTATCTGGTTTGTTGCAATTACAGAGTGAAAACCCCATTCTTGATGTAAATGAGATTCTTCTTCTCCATCACCACCAACAAGTGGAAAAACCCCTCTTCCAATATGCGGGTTTCTTGCTTCTTTTCAAATAAGCCTTACAAATCACATTTACAAAAAAATTTTATTATTCATTTTTTTAACTTTGAAATAGTTTATTATATTTATTAAAAATAATTATTTTTTAAAAATACAATAAATATTAATTATGAAAAGTATAAAAGTTAATGGTTAAAATTTTGCATATGTATAGTGTGTAAAATTTATGTGTAACTATGTCCTTATATATAGAGAGTTAAAATCCATCTTATACCCTATATTTATATAAGACCTTAATTATTCATCTTTTTATTTTTAATAATTTATATTTATTCACTTTTTATTATATTTATTAAAAATAAATATTTTTTTATCTAAAATGTCATGATAAATCTTTACTATTGAAAATGAAAAAATAAATAATCAAGATTTTATGAAATTATGGTGTATAAAATTTATGTGGAAATAGATCTATACTCACATATATATATAACATATATATATATATCAATTTTCATATTAATTGAACAATATATATATATATCCATTTTAATCAAAGAAACACTATTTATTAATATATATTTACTAATATTAAATTTCTTACAATTAACAAAATAATTAAACCTACTAAAATAATTTAAAAGTTAAGATTATATAAATAAAATTTTTAATTTAATAATTAATTTTTAAAAATATTAGTTAAAATATAAAATTTTAAATAAATCCTTAAAGAAATCTTTAAAAACAGCTATAAAATACTTTTTTATACAAAAAATTGATGAAATTATTTTTTGCTTTATTGAAACAAGGTATTTTTATAATTTTATTAAATTTTTTATAAAAAAATCATGCTTATAAACACTACTTTGGTTGTGTGTGTGTGTATATTTTCTTTGTTATTTTTATCTATGTTTTCCGATTTCCTGTTTCCAAACGGATGAAAGCATTCTTCTCAACAGTTCTGCTGCCGATTTCTATGACTAAGGTATGGTTCCTCCAATCAACTCGGTTTTGGAACCGTTTGGTTTTCTCGAACATCAGGAAAAAAAAATTTTTTTTACACAGAAGCCATTTCTAGTAGTAGAACCAATAATTTATATTTTAGTTATCCAATCATACCAAGAGTAAGATAGCTCTTGATTATTTGGAATTTACTTTACAGAAAAAAAAAAAAAGAAAAAAGACAATATATAACAAGTTACAGAACCTGAGCTTGCATCTTATCGGCCTTGAACAATTGAAACAGTCACATTGTTTATGGAGCATCTGTGTTGACCATGCTGAGAAGAGGACTCTGCATTTGTTGTAATTTGTTTTAGAATGAAAGCAGGTTGTTTTGGAGAAGGGAGATCCATAATCTCACTGTTGAGCATTGAAATGACTGTGGACATTGACGGTCTATCTTTTGCCATTTCTTGCACACACAACAATCCCACATGTATGCATCTTAGAATCTCTCTACAGTGGCATGGATCGCAAACCAACTTATCTACCATCACCAAAACGTTGTCTTGATTCCATAATTTCCAAGCCTGGAAAGTTTGAAGATTAGTTTGAAGATGGAACTGAGAAATCAAACAAAAGTGCTGATCAGTAATTAATGATGCTTAACTTACATATTCCAAAAGGCTTGAAGTCTCCCCATCATTACCAAAACTTGTGTTTCTTCTCCCACTAACAATCTCTAGTAATAATACACCATAGCTGAATACATCGGATTTCTCCGAAAATAATCCTACCATTGCATATTCAGGGGACATATAGCCACTGCATTCCAATATCAAAACACAAACTTGATTTTTTTAGCACATGAAGCTATATTTTCTATAATTTTGGTCTAAGGAGATTCAACTTACTATGTCCCAACAACCCTTCTAGTATTGACTTCATCTTCATTTCCTCTGAAAATCCTAGCCATTCCAAAGTCTGAAATTTTTGGATTCAACTCTTCATCCAATAAGATATTACTTGCTTTTAAATCTCTATGAATAATTCGTAATCTAGAATCTCTGTGTAGATAAAGGAGACCTCGGCTAATTCCTTCAATGATATTGAATCGTTTTCTCCAATCTAGGAATTCTTTTCGGACTGAATCTACATCAATCATATACCAAAAGGTGGAAATTAGAATGAAAAGAACAAAACCAAGCATTATAACTATCAGAAATGAATGCTCTAGTCTAGGCCATTACCCCTATCAAAAAAATAAAAGGGATGAATGTTTTGGACAGTGAAAATGATATAGAGATTGTTATGTTTATGTTCCTGCGGTATTGGTAAGGAAAAAATAAGAAATAAAAAACTTATTTGCATTCTATAATCAAATTCCAAATGAAAAGGAGGATGAATCATGCTCTAACCAAACAAATACATGTCCAAGCTTATATTTGGCATGAACTCGTAGACCAAAATCTTCTCCTCTCGCTCCACACAGCAGCCTAGAAGCCTTACAAGATTACGGTGTTGGAGCTTGGAAATCACAAATACTTCATTCATAAATTCTTCTAATCCTTGTCCTGATACGCTAGACAGTCTTTTAACTGCTATTTCCTGCCCATTTTCCAATGTTCCCTAGGGAAAAGGAAAAATGTGTTAGCATAAATTTTCATTTGATAGAATATGAACTGTTGGAAGCTAACTTTTACCCTGTACACGGGGCCAAAACCTCCCTGCCCTAGCTGATTTGAAAGATTAAAGTTTTTTGTTGCGGTTGCCAATTCCTCAAATTTGAACACTGGTAACTCTTGAAGTTCAACTTCAATTGTGCTAGTTTTCCTTCTACCAAACAACATTTCTTCAATTTTCTCTTTCCATGCTGAATAGATTAGTAGCAAATGTTGCATTAAGAGTTACTAAATCATGAATTCTCAAGTTCAAACTGCTAAAACAGTAAAACAGATGAACAATTACATTAGCATACTTGCTACCTTTTCCTTTAGCCACCATCCACCTTCTTACGAACAATGCGCAGATGCAAAAGATGATGGTTCCTACGATCGCTGTTGTTATTATGATGATTAATTTTACATCTTTCTTTTGTTCTGCAAGTAAAAATCAAGAAATAAATAACTGCCTTTTTAGACAAAACAGAATAGAGAAAAACGAAAAATTTTCATTTCTAACATATTTGTCTATCTACAAGTTTAAGACTATCATACCAGGTTCTGAGTATGCCAAACGAATGTAAAGATCCATCCCACCACTGGAGAACTTCTGAATGTCAATCAAGGTTACATTCCATGACATACAGCCTGTACCGACATCATACGCATAAGCAATACATGAACAATTATTCAGGCACCAGTTTCTGCATTCGTCTTCAGTGTCTGCTGGCCACTGCCGTGCAAAGTCTGGCATTTTCATCATCTCTAGCTTCAAAAAACCATCCTCCTTACCTACATCTCTGCTGCTGTTTGTTCTATGGCACTGCAAGGTTGTACTCCTAACGCAACCACTAGTCCAAATTCCTCTGTTCCATTCCTCTGTATTCTTGGGTTCAAACCCACTCAAACAGCTGCAAATTGTTGGCTTCTGAGAATCACAACTGCCAAATGGCCCACACTTGCCATAAACATCACATTCGTTTTGTGGATTAGACCATAAAATCCAATAGTCTCCCCGGTAATCATTCCGTGTCCAATATCGTTCAATTACTTTTCCTTCTGGATCCATGAAAAAGTCCAATAAATATTTATCAGGACCAAGAGTAAAAGAATAATAAAAGGTTCCTTCATCTCTGTCAGCCTCGAGTCTGTACCCAAGATCCAAAGAATTCATTCCTGGTACTCCAACAAACACCCTACCATTCCATGGGCCACTCCGCCAATACGGTTGAGAATTATTCCAGTAGAAGCATTGAGGTATGTCGAAAGGCTCGATCCCGATTGAGAAATTACCGACAGATGGATCAGAAGGGCTTTTCCACGATGTCACCTGGATTTTCTCACCAGTTCTTAAATCTACACCGACCTTCATTGTTGGCATAAGAACATTAGAAGGTTGTTGGAAACTCTCCCACATCTTCACGCCAGTGGTTTTATCCAGCAAGACCAGGTTTCCAATGTCCAGAAGCCTAGCAATTGTATTATAACCTGTCATCTTTTCAACATTGGATGACCAAAGAACCTGCTTCTGCCCATTCAGAACTACAAGATTGCCATCCTCAGATATCATAAGAGTTCCGGAGTAGTCCTTCAGAGGCTTCTCCCTGTTGGCTACCCATATGACGCCTTTTACAGGGTTAATACCGTTGTACCATATTCCCACATAAAGATCAGTAGAATTAGCTGGGCTGAAGAATCCCAGTTGGAACTTGCTGCCATTGGAGATTATAGCTTCTGGATATTTGATAGATTTTGATGGAGTTATGGTGTCTGCTGCAAAGCCAAACTGCAAACAAGAACCAAAAAGTAAGAGAAAAGTTAATGATGTCATTCCTTTGCTCATTCTCAAACTTGCCAATTCCTCTATTTTCATCAAAATGAGTATATGTAAGCATTGCCTCTTCAACCTCCTTGAATAAAGTAATGAACAGCAGTGCCGGTCTGTACATCTCATCAGCATTTTCCTAAGCCCTCCAACATTTTCTAAAGACTTTATTTTTATTATAATTTTTTTCTGACTCATTAGTCGACATCTGAATTGACATCTAACGGTCACGGACACACACAAAATAATAATAATAATAAATAAATATATAAAAAGGGGAATCTTGGACATCAAATTTGACCAATCTTATAAATTATCTTTAACATTTTCATAACTGTTTCAGTCATGTAAATTTCCACTCCTATGTGGAATTCTAGATTATTGCTTATCATATCTTTGAGTTTTGACATCTGTTCTGGGGAAAAGGCGGATCATTGGAAGAAAAATCTAATAGAATGCCAACTGCAACTTCTCCAAGAAAAACTAATTCCTAAAGTCAGCATGAAACTTACTCAGTCGTAAGGCTCGTTTGGTATAATAAATTTAGAGTAGCGGTTAATGATTTTGTTTAGATCATTAAATATAAGTGTTTGATAAAATTATATATTTTAAAATCGCTACAAATAAAATGTTTAGTAAAAGTTTTTATTTAACAATTTGAGACAAACGGATAACAGTTAAAATTCAAACTGCTAATGGATTGAAAAAGTTAGTTTAAGTAGTTTTTATATCAAACCGCTAACTGATTAAATTTTTTTAATTTTATTAACAAATTTATCATTTTTAACTTTTTAATTTTTATCACAGTTTTCAATTAACATTTATCTAATAAGTTTCAATTTTAGTTTTTTACTTTTAATAACATTAAGTAGTTATAATATTTTTATTTTTTTTCATTAATTTATTATTAGAAAATATACTATCTTAAAAAACAAAATTTTCTAATTAGACAAAATGATTATTTTTAAAAAAAATAATATAATGTTTTCTTTGTTAAAAATAAAAATGAGGTTGTAATAACATTATTATAATTAATTTTATATATTTATTTTCTTATTATTATTTTTATAAAATTAAAAATTTTAATAATTAAAAATAAAAAATATTTAGAAAAAATACACTTCAATTGTTTTTAAACATATCCTTATTAATTATTTAATATTAAATAATAACCGTTAACTATTATATAACCAAATAGTTATATTTATCAAATCTATTACCTACCATCCACTATTTACTTTTCACTATCCGTCATCCGTTATTTATTAACCGTCACCCGCTATACTCACTAGCGCTACCCGCTATACTCACTAGCGCTATCCGTTATCTACTATTTGTTACCCGTTACCTGCTATTCTTTCGGTTAAATTTTAACCGCTATACCAAAGAGGTCCATAATATCAAACGCCTAGGAAGCAAATCATTCCCCAAGAACACTTCATTAAAAATAGAAAAAAGGAAAAGAAATTGCAAGTAGTACAAACAAATCAAGTCACAAAATTTAAGCTTACCGACGGAATTGATGAATTCCTTCATTTCTTCAGCAGTAGAGAATTTCAGCAGCAAAATTTATACTACCGTCTAGTGATAATAATTTTTATCAAATTTAAATCACTACGACAACTAAAATATCTTTCAGGCATAACAGAAGTATTGTGATTTTGGTACTTTCATAACTCCAACGGTACTTACAGAATGAAAATCCCATTCTTGATGTAAATGAGATTCTTCTTCTCCATTACCACCACCAAGTGGAAAAACCCCTCTTCCAATATGCGGGTTTCTTGCTTCTAGTCATCTGAAGTGTTTTGGCAGCTTCATGATCCAACACTGTTGAAGTCTTCAGCTGCTTCCACACCTGAAATTCTTTAGGATGTTTCCTTAGGGAAAACACTCTGACACTCAAGTTAGCAATATTCGATATTCTAGAGAGAGATGCTCTCCAAGAGTATTTGCATAGAGAGAGACGTAGAAGAGCTAATCCCTTGCATGAAGCTAGTTGGGGGGTATTTATAGCCCCAACTACTGACACATGGGCTCAAACATGTCTTCACCCGTTTGGTCCACGTGTCACTGCCCACGTGGGCATGTCTCCTCATCTTGGGCCAGTGGGTGCATAATTGGGCCTGTTGCATGTGGCCCGAAGTGGGTGTTAGGCCTAATCCCAACATTACTCCCCCCTCAACGTTCGGTTGATGAACTGGGTTGAGAGTCTCGTTAGCATGGTGTCTGACCCTGAGGATGAGAAGTGACGTCTTTGTGCATGACCGACCTCACGCACGGACGATCTGGACGACCTGAAACCAGCATGCCTGGTCTGGTGTGTATGTGTATGCCGACCTCCTACCGAGTAGGCGTGAGGAAGCTGGTGTTAAAACAAGGCGAGCTCGGTGCTAATCAACGAGCTGAGCAGGCACGCAGGGACAACCTTGCATAATGGATCTTCTGTAGAATAGTGAAGGCGAGCAGACAGTAAACGAGCTGAACCAGTCAACCCAGACGGGCTGAAATGAGCGACCTTAATCGTCACTATAATGTAGGTCTCCGGGATACAGAGTAATTCTAAGGGGGTTGGTGACGATCTATCATTCGATGTTCAACACTGAGGTGAATCTCTGATTTGTTATGACTTGATCTCTTAAGACTTCAAATTTGGAATCTCTGAAGAGATCTCGAATTAGTCACAAGCTGATTTCTCAAGATTTTCAAATTTTGAATTATGGCAGATCTCTGAGGAGATCCCGGATTTGTTACGAGCTGATCCTTGAGATTATGTACGATTTGATGCAGATCGTTGAGGAGATCCTGGATTTGTTACGAGCTGATCCTTGAGATTTTTCAAATTTTGAATTATGGCAAATCTCTGAGAAGATTTGCTCAAGGCGTTTGGTATTCTTCTGCCAACGGCATATATCCTTTTGCCTCCCCGCAATAAATGTTGGCTCAGCATTTGAGGGGACGTGACAGCTGCAGACGGCTAAATTTGGGCGCTTAACCACAAATGACTGCCACGTGGACACTGTTAACTAGGGGACCATAAACACGCGTACGGTGTTTACGGAGCACTATCTGAAGGACAAAAACAAAAACAGTTACACAAACCATTCTCTGTTCCATTACACAATACTTAGCATTTTCGTTAGCAAAGGTTGCAGAGACGCTCCCAGCCATTCCTTAGAACTTCTAGCAAGGGGACATCCTATTTCACTTACAAGGTAAAAAATGGCTTCTTTTCATGATGCACAAGAGTTTTGGGGTAACCAAGGTGGGGAAGACGAAGTGGACGTGCTATCAGTAGAGCTTATCGCCATGATAGTGCCGTCGGAGTTGCAAGATTCACCCAGAACCGCCACGCCGGAGAGTAGCGCTAGTTCGAGCGCGGGTGGTGGTTCTAATGACCACCGGCCTTCAACTTCCAGTGATTCGACTACGGAAGAGACACCCAGTGAAGCGGAGGGTGTTGAAGAGGTTGGGTGCAGTGCGCCGGCGATGAGTACAGAAGCGGAGGTGGTTTTGTTTGAAGGGTGGGAGAGCAAGGTTCTCAGTGGAAGACTGGACAATCTCCCAAGGCCCCAAAAACCCTATCGGTCGGCTTTAAGTTCAGGGCGGCACTGCATCACGAAGTTGCAGATGGGGCGGCCACAGTAAAGGGGTACAAAAAATTAGAGGAGATGGTGAGGAGATACCAGATCCCTAGGACTGTTTTGATCCGAGCTGGAACACCAAACGAATGGGCATGTTCAGTATCACGGACGGGCTGGGTGCCAATATACGTAGACCATTTTGACGCCGATCTACGGTTTCCTCTGCCCGGACTAATTTTTGATGTCCTGACAGAGTACGAGCTGGCCCTTCCACAGCTAACCCCCAACAGCATAAAGTTTATCATAGGTTTTATGCTGTTGTGTGAGAGGTTGGGGATGCTCGCGAAGGTGGTGGTCTTCAGGTCGCTCTTCCTATGCCGTTTGTGTCCGTCCACCAGTGGAACGATATGGTACTACATCTCGGGGAGAGAGAAGATGATGATATTCACCAACATCAGAAATAAGGTGGCGAGGTGGAAGAGACAGTTTGTTTTCATTCGTGAGACACGAACCGAAAGAGTCAGTAACGAGCTCGCCGCCCGTCTATCAGAGTGGCGTACACCCAATACCTATATGAACTACCTACAGCTGACTGTTGGTGATGTCGACCTGAAGAACTGGCTGCTCGAGTATGTTAAGGCGAGGGGTTTGGTAGATTTAGAAGCCTTGGTTACCCCGTAGCAGATCGCACTTCTTGGGTTTGTCGACGTGGTAAACCTTCATGGGGAAGGTATATTTCTATAGCATAGCAGGATTTCTAGCCAACCTGAATCTTATGCTTTTGTTTGTGCAAGAGAAATGAGCAGCATATTAGAGAGGCAGCGCCAACGAGCACGAGGGTTGAGGAACCGTGGAGCTGGGTCCGGTTCCCAACGCCAGACTCGCTTTGACGAGCGGCCACCTGCAGCACCTGGGCGCAACTCATCGCACGGGAGTTCCAACTTGGCACCGAGGCTGCATGTCGAGCAGAGAGTTGAGCCTACGCCCTCAAGCTCAAGAAGGCGCGCGAGGGAGGACTTTGACGCCGAAGATGACATCCCCCTCATCCAGCGGAGGACAAGTACAGGGAACCAGCCGCTCCAGCCACTACAGCGTGGCCCCAACGCCAGCTCGCGAGGTTGTTGAGCCTGCCTCGTCGTCTGTAGTGGGGCCAAGAATTTCATACCCAGATAGCTTCAGTTACGTAAAGACTGATTGTCAGGCCACCATGCTACAGGGTATGCAGAATTTTGTGCCCCCTGCAAACCAGCAACGTGCGAAGGGGCACGTTCAGCAGCATGGAGGACATGCTGCTCTAATCAAGCTTATGGATGTCAGTATACTTACCGAGCTCATAGTTGTATTTTATCACTTTATGCTATAAACTGACGAGTGGGTATATATGGCAGGCGTTTAGCTACACCGTCACACTCTTCGAGTGCGACCAGGGAGCGCGGGTGCAGAACCACGAGCTCCAACAGAGCTGCAAACAACTGGCCTCTGAGAAAGCTAGCTTGGCTGACGAGGTCAGTCATTTGTAGAGCTCAAAGATGGCAAACCGAGCGGCGTCAGCAGAGAGCCGAGCCGACGAGTTGGCCCGTAAGGTCAACGAGCTGAAGGAGGACCTTGAAAGAGCTCAGACCGAGAAGAAAAGCAGCATTCAAGCTGCGAAGGAGGAGGCCGGTCGTGCAGAGGACCGGGCCAAGAAGGCAAAATCTAACAAAGAGAAGACTCTGCATGAGCTGAGCGCCCTGAGAGAGAGGGCCTTGCAAGCTGATCAGCACGTCGCCCGGGTTAAGGCGTCCTTGGAGAGGACCAAGAGGTTCCACCAACGCGATGTCTGCTTTGCCCGTGCACAAGGGGCTAAGTGGCTGGTGGGAGTAGAAATGTTCCAGGACGCCGTCGTTGTTGCCTCAGCCAACACCACCACGGACATTTTCAACGAGGTTCGTGGAAAGGTGCTACAAGTTCGAGCTGACTTCCCCATCGGCGAGCTAGCCTTCTTGGAGGGCGAGGAGATTGATGAAGAAGGGAAAGGCCTCACCCAACCAATTGACACGCAGGTGAGGCTGAAATGGGAGCTTAATGAAGAGGGGTTGCCCATGTGGCCCCCTACCGTAGTGGAAGAGGGGGTAGACACAGAGGGGTTACCAAGCTTTAATGCTTGGGTTGCAGACCCCCATGACGTGCCTGCTGAACCTTCCAGCACTCCCCCATCTGCTCAGCCCGCCTCGGCCGCTGCTCTTGCTCCCTTTCCTTTAGATCGGCCATCTCCTGCTCGGTCTATTTCTGTGCCCAATGATGCATCCATTCCCATCAACTTGACGGATGACTAGTATAGGATTTTTTGCTTTGTCTTTTGTATTTTTGTGTTAATCGATGAACTCATTCATGAAGTTCTTCACATGTAAAAAATCATTGATGAAATATAAAGTTGAATCTTTTCTTTTAAGATTTCTGTATTGAATTTTCTGTACATTATCATTTACAATTGATTGATGACAACTTGAATAAGATAATAATATACATGTTTAACTGTAAAACTTTCTAAGGTTATGTATGTTCCAAATGAATGGTAATGGGCGACCTTATAAATCTACTAACTGATAACACCCAGGTCGCTTTATACAAATAACCATATAAGGACCTTCCCAGTTAGGAGCGAGCTTGCCCATGTGCGAATAAGCATTGGTTAATCCAACTTTGCGTAAAACCAAATCGCCGACCAGAAACTGACGAGCTCGAACCCTTTTATTATAAAATTTTGCAACATGACTTTGATGCGCCATGTTTCTTATTCAAGACATCTCCCTGACCTCTTTCACAAGGTCTAGGTTCTCTCTTAAAAGTTGCTCATTGTTATGGTCGTCGTGCCGATCTGCTCTATTAGATGGCAATCCGACCTCTACAAGGATGACGGCCTCAGCTCCATAGGCAAGGCTGAATGGGGTTTCGCCTGTTGTCGAGCTTGGTGTAGTGCGACATGACCAAAGCACTTTATTAAGCTCGTCAACCCAATTAGAATGTGCAGCTAAAACACGTGTCCTGAGGCCTCGCAAGACGATTTTATTGGCGGACTCGACTTGCCCATTTAATTGTGGAGTATACACAGATGTCAAGGCGAGCTCAATGCCATAGTCGTCATAGAACGACCTTAGCGCCGCGGCTCGAAACTGTGGACCATTGTCAGCGATGATCCGTTTAGGTATGCCGAACCTATACACAAGTGACCGAGCTGAGACACGAATTATGTTTGCGTATAATGTACCAATGGCTTAAGCCAGCAAAGAGTACCTGCACAATATTGAATCGAACAGGAATTCCTCTATTTTCCTCTCTGTTGTCGTTGATAATGGTTTGGCCTCTATCCATTTGGTGAAGTCATCCACCGCGACAACTAGGTGAGTGCAGCCTCCTTTTCCTTTGACAAAAGGGCCGAGCAGGTCGACTTCCCACTAAGCAAAAGGCTAGGGAGATGAGAGTGATGAGAGCATTTCTCCTGTTTCAATGAAGATACTTATGTTCAGTTTACAGACAAACATGAAGTTTGCATGAACTTTAGAACAAGCTCGAATATCTGGCATGTGAATATCATCAACATTGAACTGGCAGGTCGGGCACTTTTTGACATAGCTCTATGCGTCCTCAACCATAGTAGGCTAGTAATAACCATGCCTCAAGAGTTTCCGAGCTAAAGTTCTACCACTTATGTGTGTGCCACATACTCCTTCATGAATTTCCCTTATAGCGTATTCAGTTTCATAAGGAGTAAGGCAGCGTAATAGGTGCATTGAGGCTGTTTGTTTGTAGAGCTAATTACCTAACACAGTGAAATGTGCGGCCCTGCGTTTAATCAACTTTGCAGCGGACGGATCTTCAGGCAGTTCGCCACTTTGCAAGTAATCTATGAACGGGGTAGTCCAACTCGGTGAAGAGGGATCTATGCTTAGTAGCTGACACACGATTGTGAAATCGATGTAGCTCAAAGCGTCAAGCACTTCCACAATTGTTGATCTCCATGGGTTGATATTTTGTGAGGAGGCTAATTTTGACAGCTCGTCAACTCATTGGTTATCTGCTCTGAGTATTTTGTCGATCTAGAAAGATACAAATCCTGATTTCAATCTGTTAACCACAGAGACATAACGACCAAGCTGAGGATCCTTGATTTCACAACTGCCATTTACGTGGCCCACAACGAGTTGAGAGTCACTAAAAACCTGAATGCCCTGTACTTTCAACTCGAATGCCAGCTTCAAACCATAAATAAGGGTTTCATATTTTGCGGCGTTATTTGTTGTCTGAAACTCAAACCTCAATGCATGCTCGGATTTAAAGCCATCCAGGTCCACTAACACAGCCCTAGCACCCGATCCTTCAATGTTAGCAGCTCCATCAACATACAAGACCCAGACTGGGTGCTCGGGTGCCTTTTCTTCTACAGTCGCCGAGATGCACTCCACCAGGAAGTCCGCCATAGCCTGGCCCTTTATGGTTATGCGCGACTGAAATTTGAGGTCGTACTCACTCAGCTCGACGCTCCATCCAATAAGCCGACCAGAGAGTTTTGGTTTTTGCAATATTTTCCTCAATGGCAGATCGGTATAAACAACAATTTGATGTGACTAGAAGTAAGCTCTCAACTTACGAGCCGTGTATACCAAGGCAAAAGCAGCCTTTTCTGCTAGTGGATAATTCTGCTCTGCGCCTTGTAAAACCTTGCTCACATAGCAGATAAACTTCTTATTCTTATTCTCTTCCCTTAGCAAAACCAAACTTACTGCCTCCTCCGTGACCCCCAGATACAAGTATAAACTCTCCCCTTCCACAGGCTTAGACAAAAAGGGTGCTGATGCCAGATATTGTTTGAGCTCGTCAAACGCCTGCTGACATTCATCTATCCACTGAACGTTCTTGGGCTCTCTCAGGGCTTTAAAGAACGGGAGGCATCTTTCTGCCGACCTGGCTATGAACCTATGCAACGTAGCAACACGACCCGTTAGATGCTACACATCTTTTACGGTCTTGGGAGGCTCCATCTGCTGAACGGCCTGAACCTTCTCTGGATTTACCTCAATTCCTTTCTTTGATACCACGTACCTTAGGAATTTTCCTGATTCCACAGCGAACGTGCATTTCAGGGAATTCAGCTTCATTTGGGCTCGGCGCAAGTTCTGAAAGGTCTCACTAGGTCGTCTATATGATCCTCAGCTCGCACACTAGTGACTATCATGTCATCCACATATACTTCTATGTTCCTGCCGATCTGGAGCTTAAAGATGATTTGCACCAGCTTCTGATATGTAGCGCTGGCATTTTTCAGGCCAAACTGTATCATGACATAATAGTAAATTGTGTCACCAGCATAAAAAGTTGTTTTCTCCTGGTTGTTCAGCAGCAACTGAACCTGGTGATAACTTGAGCTAGCATCAAGGAAACTCATCCGCTCATGTCCAGCTACCCGTTCTACTAGTTTCTCCACAGTTGGCAAGGGATGAGGGTCTTTGGGACACGCCTCATTTAAGTTGGTGAAGTCAATACACATCCTCCACTTGCCGTTTGGTTTTTTGACGAGCACAGGGTTGGACACCCACTCAGAGTATTCCACTCTCCTGATGAAGCCTGCCTTTAGCAGCTTTTGTATCTCTTCATCTATGGCAACTTGCTTCTCAGGGCCAAAAAGGCGACGCTTCTAAACCACCAGCCTTTTGGTGGGGTTCGTGCTGAGCTTATGGATAGCAACTCTACTGGGATGCCAGGCATTTCATCCGTAGTCCACGCAAACACATCTTTATTAACCCTAAAAAATTCTAGAAGCTCTGCTCGCTCTTCTTCTGTGAGCTTGGTGCCGATCTTAACTGTTCTTTTTGGTACATCAGGGATTAAAGGGACCGTTTCCACCGGCTCAGCCTTCTGCTCAACACCCTCAGGTCGGTGTTCGATATCTGATATGCTCATTGTCCGCTAACCGAGCTGGGTTGGCTTGTGATTTTCAGAACCTGCCGGGGCCACAGCGAGCTCAACCTTCTTGAAAGTAGCTTGGTAGCAGGCTCTGGCCATCTTCTGCTTCCCCTTAAGCACTCCTACCCCCTGAGGAGTTGGGAATTTCATACAGAGATGGGGTTGTGAGATGACAGCCTTCAGCTCGCAAAGTGTGGCTCTTCCCAGTATATCATTGAAAGCTGATTCCATCTTGACGACCAGAAAGGTGACGGAAGTCATCCTGAAGCGTGGTTCCGAACCCACATAGATGGGTAGAGTAATGACTCCCTCAATCGGGATGGGTTGATTATTGAACCCGTAGATAGGCCCTTCATACTTCTATAGCGAGCTCAGCTTCAGCTGCATCTTCTAAAAGCAACTCCAATAAAGGATATCTGGTGAGTTACCAGTATCAATGAAGATCTTGTTGACGTTATGATTACCTATATGGACCGTCGTCACAAAAGGATCTGCATGAGGCATCATAGCGTCGGGCTCTCCGTCTACTCGCTTATAATCTGCCGGGCTGGATGTGATGGGCGCATTCTCCCACTCCGCCTCCTCGAATGGCCTCTTCAAAGACCTGTTCTTATTAACTGTCATCACCTGTCGGGCATATGCCTTACGGCCCTGAGCGCTTTGGCCCCCTGAGTGCATACCACCAGAGATCATATTGATTGTGCCAGATGGCGGGGGTATCTCGCTGTATCCAACCTCTCTGTGTTCTTTTTGATTCTGCGTGGACGCTTTCTATCTCTGGCCTCGCCTATTGAATAGGCGTCCCCTGTATGTTCTGTTTGGCTCGGACGAGTATTGACTCGCTTGATAAGGAATTGGATCATGGCCAAGCTGATATCCCTGTACTTGAGATTGGCCGTACTCTTGCATGAAATGGGTCTAGGTGGGCTGCCGGATGTAAGGCTTCTGTACATACCCCTCCAATTTTCCATTGCGAGCTAAGAATGCAAGCTCATCCTTCAGGCTTTGACAATCTTCCGTGTTATGCCCATATCCATGGTGGTAGTCACAATACTTGCTTTTGTCAGCTCGTGAAGAATTGTGTGTTTGGGGAGGGGGTCTCTTGACCCAGTGTTGTATATGCGCCAATATCTAGGATCTTGACGAGCTCAGGGGAATGTAGCTGTCATACTTTGGATAGGATGGCAGTTTTCCTCTTTGCTCGCCAACCTTCTGCTTTTTCTTATCATCTCTGCCCTCAGGCTGCTTGGGCTCTTTACCCTGTCTATCATCAGCTCGTCTCTTAGAAGATTGAAAATCTTCGGATAGTATGAAGCTTGCCGACCTGTCATTTACTTCATTCCACGACTTGGGTGGATTCTCCAGCAAGTCGTCTACAAACCGACCACGCTTCAAGCCATGCAGCAAGGCAGACAAGCAGATAGTATCGAGGATGTTATCAATGTCTAAAGTTGCCTTGTTGAACCGCTGCACGTAGTCCCTCAGAGATTCCCCTTATTTCTGATGAACTTGCATCAGTTCGGTCACTGTACGTTTAATCTCCCTTTGGCTCGCAAATTTGTTGGAGAATAGCTTGGCGAGCTGGGAGTAGGAGTCTATAGAGTGTTTGGGGAGTTTATGATACCATCTTCTAGCCGTTGACTTCAATGTCGCTGGGAACACTTTGCACATCATGGCGTCATTGGCATTTTGGATGTTCATGATGGCTTGATAGGTATGTAGGTGCTCGTCTGGGTCACCCGAGCCATCATATGTCTCTAGATGGGGGATTTTGAATCCCTCTTGATACGGTTCTGTTGTGATGGATATGTTTAGTGGGGCACTATCTAAGTCAAGGGTCTATTGGTGCGACCTGGGGCTTTTCAACTCGTCAATGGATTTCTGTACATCTTTGAGCTATCTTTCTAGGTCAGCATTTTTCTTTAGCAGTTCTTCATTATGTCTGGATGAGCTGGGTTCTAGGTTTAACCTCCCACTCCCCTTTGGTCTGGTCGGGACCACCACATTACTCAAGGCCGGGGAGGTACAGGTTGCAACCACTGCAGCTGGCTGTGCATCCCTGTTTAGCAAAGGAATCAGGGGGTCATCAGGAATCAGATGGGCAAGGATTTTACCCATTGCCATTTCGAGAACTTTGGTTCTCTCTTCAAGCTCGGTTGTCCGAGCAGGCTATGCTAACCTTTCAAGTCATTCATGTTGTGAATTGCCCTGTCTGGGATATCTATGCCTTGTTCTTGTTGGAATTTGAAATTGTTCAGGCTAGGTTGCATACCCAGTTGGTGTTCTTTCATCATCATCTGTTTCACTTAGTTGATCTTGTTCTGCTCCTCCAACAAAAAGGTTTCTTGGCATTGGCCTAAAATCATTCAAGCCGGGCTCAGACAGTTGAGTGTCCTCCTATTCGTCCATTTCATTTCTTGGAGGGCGACTTCCAATAAAAGTACGAACAATTTTGCCTTTCAGCAGGTTAAGTTACACAACTTCTTGTTCAATTCCCACAGACGGCGCCAAATGTTTTGGCAACTTCACGATCCAACACTGTTGAAGTCTTCAACTGCTTCCACACCTGAAATTCCCGAGGATGTTTCTTCGGGAAAAACACTCCGACGCTCAAGTCAGCAATACTCGATATTTTAGAGAGAGATGCTCTCTAAGAGTATTTGCATAGAGAGAGACGTAAAAGAGTTAATCCCTTGCATGGAGCTAGTTGGGGGGTATTTATAACCCCAACTGCTGACACATGGGCTCAAACATGTCTTCACCCATTTGGTCCACGTGTCACTGCCCACGTGGGCATGTCTCCTCATCTTGGGCCAATGGGTGCATAATTGGGCCTGTTGCATGTGGTCCGAAGTGGGTGTTGAGCCTAATCCCAACATGAAGCTATATATATATATATATATACATATATAGTAAGATGGAATTTTCAAATAAGCCTTACAAATTACATTTGGATAAAATTTTTATTATTCATTTTTTAAAGTTTGAATTAGTTTATTATATTTATTAAAAATAATTATTTTTTAAAAATATAATAAATATTAAATATTAAAAATATAAAAGTTAAT